CTATTCCACTCCATTCTATTCCACTCCATTCTATTCCATTCCATTCCATTCCATTTCTATTCCTTTCTGTTCCATTCCATTCTATTACTATTCCTTTCTATTCCATTCTATTCCATTCCATTCCATTCCATTCCATTCTATTCCTATTCCTTTCTATTCCATTCTATTCTATTCCATTCCATTCCATTCCATTCCATTCCTATTCCTATTCCTTTCTATTCCATTCCATTCCCATTCCCATTCCCATTCCCATTCCCATTCCATTCCGATTCCTTTCCATTCCATTCCATTCCATTCCATTCCATTCCTATTCCTATTCCTATTCCTATTCCTTTCTGTTCCATTCCTATTCTGTTCCGTTCCGTTCTGTTCCATTCCATTCCATTCCTTTCTATTCTATTGTAGTTAGCAACACCAATGCCAATGACTTTTGGACAGGAAAGTCATTTTCAAAGGAGAATGCTGATAAAAGGAACACCCAGAGATGCTTTTTCAAGAGTCAACTGAACTTTCTGTTTTTTTCTTTGAAGTCATTTGACTTCTCATCCAAGAAGCTTCTTCAGCTCTGAAGGAACAGGTGTTTTTTTTTTTACAAACCTATCTCTGAGCTCTGGCCCTTACCTTTTTTTTTGGTCCTTATCTAGAATAGAATAGAATAGAATAGAATAGAATAGAATAGAATAGAATAGAATAGAATTTAGAATCAAATAGAATCAAATAGAATAGAATAGAATTTAGAATAGAATAGGTCAAATAGAATAGAATAGAATTTAGAATAGAAATAATAGACTAGAATAGACTAGAATAGACTAGAGTAGAGTAGAGTAGAGTAGAGTAGAATAGAATAGAATAGAATAGAATAGAATAGAATAGAATAGAATAGAATAGAATAGAATAGCAAGTTGTTCCACTGATTAATTGTTCTGACTGTCAGGAAATTTCTCCTTAGTTCTAGGTTGCTTCTCTCATTGATTAGTTTCCACCAGAGGTGGTATTCATCAGGTTCTGACCAGTTCTAGAAAACCGGTAGCGGAAATTTTGAGTAGTTTGGAGAACCGGCAAATCCCACCTCTGACGGGAGATTTTATAGTATCCTTCCCCTGCCATGCCCACAAGCCACGCCCACAGAACCGGTAGTAAAAAAAATTGAATCCCACCACTGGTTTCCACCCATTGCTTCTTGTCCTGCCCTCAGGTGCTTTGGAGAATAGCTTGACTCACTCTTCTTTATGGCAGCCCCTGAGATATTGGAACACTGCTATCATGTCTCCCCTAGTCCTTCTTTTTTATTAAAAAACTAGCCCGACACACCTTTTATGTATCTGTGGTGGTTATGAAGCAGAATGGAAAGTTACCAGAAAAGTATTCTTATAATTAGCAGAAGTTTCTTAGCTTATATCGCAAATATTATAGAAGTTGCTTAATATGATATTGTGAAAACCAGAAAGTTGCTGAATCTAAGAATAATGACCTATGAACTAGGTATGTTCCTGTAAACAGCTAAATGGCAAGGGTGGCAAGGGTGGGTATGGAAAATAACAGATGGTGTAAGATAAGTATTTATATGCTGAATTGTGCAAAATGGCTAATTAGACTTACTTCCCCCTTTTGTAGTACGCTGAGACTGGGAGCTGCATGAAAGTAACTCCTCAGGAATAGCCGGGGGTTCAGAATTTGCCATGCTAATGCTCTGAACCTTTTGCGCAAATAAACCTGTATTCTCCTACCCTTCGTGGTCCTGTGTCCTGATTTGGAAACAGGATCTGCTGCAACATTTATGGTGACTCCTCTGGGACACAAGGGGCCCTAAGGCCTGCTGGGGGGTCCACCCTGGGTGCCAGTGCTTCGGTGAGTTGAAGGGAACACCCCAGGCGCCATCGGTCCTTTGAATCCGAGGGACTTCCCGATACTGCTGGGTTCCGGCAATGGTGGTTGACACCTTCAAGAACCACTGGTGAAGGGTAAGGAGACCAGGACATTTTCCAGCTGGCCAGTGGAGAAGGAACACGCCTGCAGGCAAGTATTGGACTTGGGAAGCAATCACTCCCTGTAAACAGGGACGGAGGAGAGGACTGATCACCCTCTCTTAAGCAAAGGTGGGCGGAATTGTCAGGAATGGTTGAGGTGAGTGGCTACTGTGGTTCCCATTGGTGACTGTGAGTGTCCAGCACTGTGGGCCAGTAGAAAGCAAGTGGCATTCATAGTTCCCATTGGAGACTGTGTGCACCCAGCTCCCTGGGTCAGATGTGAGTGTGTGGAAATCCCTGGTGTTACCAAGAGAGGAAGGACCCCATACCTTCTTCTAACCCCTCTTCCCAATTGTCTTGTCTGGTGACCAGGGTGGCTCATGGCAGGTGGAGAAAGTGTGCCCCTAACCCCATTGGGGTGTATGCTAAAACACTTTAAGGAGGCATATGAATCTCAGGACTATGGTCTTAAGTGGAGTAGACATAAACTGCAGGTGTTTTGTGAGGGAGAATGGTCAACATTTGGAGTAGGGTGGCCAGCCATAGGTACTTTAGACACCTCTATAGCAGTACAGGTTCATCAGTTAGTATTTCA